GATTCATTTCCCTCTGATCTGCGGAAATACAAAAGCCACGTCTGTTTCGTACCAATTGCCGGACCCTTTGTCCTCGACCGCTACCCTCGAGCTACCCTCGAGCTCTCTGTCTTCCGTATACTCCTGATCCTACCGTTCATTATATTATACTTACAACATTATCGATCGTACATTTTCTAATTTGCATGGAACAATTCGATACGTCCATAAGCGGTCAATATTTTTGCGTAATATTTGGGTTTGTGCAATATAATTGATCGTGTGTAGACGATATCGAAAGGTTGTGCAATATATTGTACGAAATTCAAACTTTTGAAAATATATTCCGAAACGACGTATATATTGGAAGACTTTAATGTGGCTAACGTATGTGGCTCCTTCGAAGCTTTTTACCCACTCCTCGAGTAGAATTTTTAAAAATTAAGAAAACCTTAAATTTAATCTTAAATTTCGAGGTCACGATGGGTTTTGCGGACGGTTTCTTTTGCAAATGTCTACCGATCCAGATGTGTACAATAACCCCAGAAAGTGACGACCATTAATTGGATTACACCCTGTACTGTTTGTGCTCGCGGTTGCGCAAAATATTACACAACCATCGATATCGTCCACACACGATCAATTATATTGCACAAACCCAAATATTGCGCAATAATATTGACAATGTATAGACCGCCGTCAAAATATTGTACAACCTATGTATATTGCACAATATTATACCGTCTATGGGCCACTTTTGGAACTAGCCACTTGTTCTATCACACTAGGAATAATTACAAATGAACGTCAATACGTTCGACCCTTTGCGATCGTATGTCTACTCTCAGCCACCACTACAAAGAACCATACTAACCTTATATTGTATTCCGCAGACTGAAAAGACTTAAGCCTTTAAACAATAGTAATAGATTCCAAGATATTAGTGGTATAATCAATTAATAGAAAGTTAGTAATTATAAGTTATACAAGACGATATGAACCAGTGGGTGAAATATTTATATATTCAACTGTTCAAAGACAAAAATATCGATATTGTTATATTTTCTGTAACAAATTGCAACGAACGCCAAATAGTCGACGATACATCGTAGAATTCCAAATAATATTATACAAATTGTGTTTAAGTGGAATTAGGCATTCTCGTTTCTTAGAATATTAAAAACAATGCTCCAAAATGCCAAAAAGAAAGTTACCAAAAGATACTAAATGATGGAGAACTATAAAATATAATTTTGATATAAAAACATAACATTAAAACACATTATTACGCAAACATATATCTAAAGTTCCCAAAGAATTAATAAATCTTGTTTATCCTCCACAATCCTGCATATTATGTATCACTGCTAATTCTTCGGAAATTAATCCCGACCAGTACGACACCCATGTCTAAATTTAATACGACCGCAAAGGGTTAATGTTAACCTCGATACAGTTTTTTTAAAGGAAATCTGTCTGTTAACAGTCGCGAAGTTCCTGTTGCTATACAACGGCTCGAATCGAATTTGGCCGCACTTTTATCAGCCGTTTAAATCCAGTTAGGCGAACTTCTAGCACCATTCGCGAAGCATATATATTCCTAGACCGTGTTACTTGTTTAGTCGCTAACTTATGCTCGGAGAGGTCCCGGCTAAGCCGACTTTAACGCCGGGAGCAGGTTAATCCGTTCGAAAGTTTGCGAGCTGAGACCTGAAGAATTCGAGACTCTGGCAAAGTTTGACGAAACACGCCACGCTGTTTACTTATTTATTTATTTTTTTTTTATTTTTATTTGAAGTTTTTTTGTGGAGACAAAGAGAAACTCGGAAAGAGGGAGGATCTCGAGCTACGTCATCCCCGAAAACGCACATTCGTAGATGAAATCGGAGGGGTTAAACCTCTCGCGTGAGGGGTCATATGACACGATTCTTCGGATTGCATCGCCAAGATATACGATCGCTATTGCGCTGAATTCTCTCTCCCCACTCGCCTAATCTCTCGAATTTTCTCGTAACGATTCTGTCCTTTTGTACTCGAGAAGCAAAGCGGATTAAATCCATCCGTCTTTTCGTCGTAAAACGCTCCGAAATGTTCCTCCAGCGATGTGAAAAAACGTCGACAACTTAGATGATAGTTCACTCTCTATCTCTCCTACGTCCAGGAAAGCCTTATTAAAAATGTGCATTCAAGTCGAAGAATTACGCTTCCGCTTTCCCGAGGTTGTTTCACTCTCGAAAAGTTTCGAGCTTGTTTCGGGTGCAGCGTGTATCTCAATTCGTCATTTTTTCTACTTCCAAAAACTTTAGTTCAAAAACTTTAATTCAAAAACTTTAATTCAAAAACTTTAGTTCAAAAACTTTAGTTCAAAAACTTTAGTTCAAAAACTTTAATTCAAAAACTTTAATTCAAAAACTTTAGTTCAAAAACTTTCACGCTTCTTCTCGTAAAATTTTAATTGTTTTCTCTATTAGTACGCGAGCACGACTCTCGATTGAGCGAAGGATTTTACTTTTCTTCGACTCTGCTGAAAATTCAAATTTCAATTTTTTCTTTTAATCTTTCGTTCTACAGTAAAATCTTCTTAAGGGGTAACACCACTCTAGAGGCTGAAAGAGAGGCTTGAACTTTGATAATTAATTTTGAGAGTATCGCAAAAGGAATAGGATTTCTTTGTACAGAGTTTATTTAACACATATTGTAGTATAAACAAAAAATTGTTGTATTATAATTTTAGCACAAAATGTCGACGACAAAGCGAGTCTTCAAAATCGACTTTTTTAAAAACGTTTTCACAGGATGACGGTTTTCTTGCTGTGTACAACATTCGGAACAAGAAACCAAGAAATTTTATAATGTAGAAGTACGTAGCGGTTGTTTTATATAATGTAAACTTTCGTTTTTATTAATAATTGACTATTTCTACTATTATAATCGACTATTTCTATTATCTACAATAATAAATTAATAAATTTGTTCAGCTCCTAGAGTGGTGTTACCCCTTAAGGGATCATTCTGGTTTATGAACGAAAATTTTGTTTACGTACTTTGATAGCGTACTTACTAACAACCCCAATAAGTTTCATATCAATATCTATATCAGTAAACTCTTTGAAAAATATACGAGAACAGCCTTTTTTCAGAGCATCTAAACCAGAATGATCCTTTAAATGCACAAGCTCGGGACTGAAACTTGTGCGTTTATCGTAGAGTCGTTATATTCTCTGATGTTTGCCGACGAGCTTCGAACGTAGAGAAGAACAGCGAATAAAGTTTTTGAACACGACTATCTCGAAATAGCTACCATAAAGTTTCCGCCTCGACGGACGCGTTTCTTGTCCGCTACTTCCGGTTCCGGCTGCGTTGAATTACTGTACGCCCGATGAAAACCTCTTTACAGACGAGCGTTCGCGGTAGCCAAGGAAAATTTATGCGCTTTCGCGGATTTTCCACCTGTCTTCGACCTAAAATGTTCCAGCCATTCCAAAATCGCTGGGCGCGAGATTGGCTGTGGCTCGAGCTGAATTGAAATTCGGAAGGAGGGGTGCGATTGAAGGACGCAGGTGCCATAAAATATGTACTCTTTCATCTTCCAACAGATCTGCGGAGATCTGCGGGATCCCTCGATCTTCAGATCACAGTTCATGCGTTGTATACGAAATATCAGGGTGGTAGAAATTAACCCACTGACGATTTTTGCTTGGAAATTCTATGTGGCGTGGAGGTGTGATTTTTTTAAAAAATATCAGCTTATAGGGAGTGATAAGATGGAGCTTTTTTGTATTTTCAGTTTATTCGTGCGACGTTTATTTTCAGGGATAAAAATTAAAAACTTAGGAGATTTTTTTCCTGAGATCTCGTAGATGGTCTGTTGCTGTTGTCTCAATGGAAAAAAAAGGAACAGTCGGACAATCGAATTTGAAAAAAAATATCACCTAATAGAGAATGACAAGACGAAGCTTTTTTATGTTTACAGTTTATTCGTACACCGTTTAGTTCCGGAGATAAAAATTGAAAACTTAGAAAACCTTTTCCCTGAGATCTCGTAGTGGTCTGATCCTGTTGCTGTTGTCTCAAAGGAAGAACAGGAACAGTCGGGCAATCGAATTTGAAAAAAATATCACCTAATAGAGAATGACAAGACGAAGCTTTTTTATGTTTACAGTTTATTCGTACGCCGTTTAGTTTCGGAGATAAAAATTGAAAACTTAGAAAACCTTTTTCCTGAGATCTCGCAGTGGTCTGATCCTGTTGCTGTTGTCCCAAAGTAAAAACAGGAACAGTCGGACAATCGAATTTGAAAAAAATATCACCTAATAGAGAATGACAAGACGAAACTTGTTTATGTTTACAGTTTATTCGTGCGACGTTTAGTTTCGGAGATAAAAATTGAAAACTTAGAAAACCTTTTTCCTGAAATTCAATTTTTGCAACTAGCTTCTGACTTTTTAATTTTTATTATCGAAACAAGGTGTCCTGCGAATAAACTGTAAATACAAAAAAGTTTCGTCTCATCATCCCCTATAAGCTGATACTTTTTTGTTTAAATTGATTTAACTTACATAAAGGGTTAATGAGAGAAAATAGAGAGTATAATATCAGGGTGGTACTTTAAGCAGTTCAGCTGTATGAAGCATGGGAGCTGTGACTTATCGGAAGCTCGGAAGCTCGATAGCTGCAGAGACCCTTAACTTTATCGTGACCATCGTCATATTTTAGAGATTGCGACCAGTGGACTGATTGAGGTGTCACAGTTGAGCCTGACATACGAGGATCCAGTTCCATGGGGTATCGGCTTTGATTCCTGAGACCATTTAGGGTACAGAAATCCTGAAATTGAGCTTTCGTAATAATCTTTTCCCCGCAAGCGCTTAGAATCCTCCACAATAAAGCCTCGCAATTCCCGTCAACCTTCTTTTTTTCCTCAACTTCATCCAGAACCTACTCTCTCACGAAAATCGTCTGATCGAATGAAAACAACTTTTTCCAGGTCTCCGGTCCCCTGGGAGCGTCTGCAGTGGGGGGCTTTCGCATAATCAGCCTCTTCGAGGGAGATCGACGCTAGGCTTTGGGGACGTGTCCATCGACAGAATCGATTCTTGGATGATGGAACGTCGCGCCTCGTGTGGACTCCAATCAGTTAGCGGCCGCCGTTAATGCTCCGATCGTGCCTCCTGGGATCATCCCTCGCGAAGGGCGGTCGCCGAGGTCCGGGGATGATGGGTTAAGGAAACCGTCCGAGAAGCCTCGAGACAAATTCGAAACCACTCGCTCGACTCCAGAAGAAGATTTCTTGAAGGAATGCCTGCAAAGACAGGATTCTCAAACCAGAACGCACGCTTTGGATCTCTACGAGCTAATTAAAGGGAGATACTTCTCTCGAATGTGTTTATCCTCGTCACGAAACGGACGACGATCTCGAGAGGACCTAATGGTACTTAAATACTCCAATGGAATACAGATCGCTGGATTAGCAACGAGAGAAAGCCGATATCCACGTCGATTCTACCCAGAGAACGTTCCGGAAGAGGTTTCCAAGAGACTTCTTTTCACCGTGAAATAAGCGGCGTGTTCTCCACGGGCACGACAGCTAGGAACAAAGGTAGATAATAAGGAGAAAAGTTGAGAAGGATGCCGCAGGCTTCAAGGACGTCATCCAGCATCACGCCGTGCGTATCCTCAGCAGTGCGTCTGCCCGAATGCGTCCCATGCGTGTCGTAACGCGGACGCGTTACCACACGCTGCACACTTTCTACCGTTGAAGGCTGGAAAATACGATCCCCGCGACCTCGGAAGAATAATTCGCCGCGACAGAGAGGGAGAGGAGTCCGTGTCCCGCGCAAGGACGCGTTGCTCGCCTTTGGGAATATAACCTCGCGCTGTACTCCGCTACGAAGAAGATACGAGCGAGTCCGATAGGTGATATCCGAGGACCGCGACACTTCATATCGAGAAGCTGCAATTGCCTCAGGGAGACCTCGATTCATCTGTCAGCATTCGAATGGAAGAATACCCCGTGGAGCTCCATTCGTCCTAGGGGAATAACGAGATCTTGTTGCATCCAGGGAAATTTTGCGGCGCAACGGGTTCCAGCTAGTGCACGCCAGAGGTTTAAATATTAATAAAAAGGGGTTGCTGAGAGAGGTTCGATCTTTGGGAAGGTGGATGATCTCCAGGGCGTGGAGTTCGGAGATAATATTGGAGCCTATGCGCGATCATCTCGACAGTATTACCATCGCCCATTCCACGGCGTCGATGGAGAGAATAGTCCAGGGACGAAGATTGGTCCCACGAGGGTGAAGATACCTTCTTATCTTCTACCTTAGTCTCCTGCACTCAGGGAAATCTTGCGGCGTAACGGGTTCCAGCTGGTGCACGCCAGAGGTTTAAATATTAATAAAAAGGGGTTGCTGAGAGAGGTTCGATCTTTAGGAAGGTGGAGGATCGTGGAGCCGTGGAGTTTGGAGATAATATTGGAGCCTACACGCGATCATCTTGAGAGTATTACGACCCACGGCGTCGATGGAAAGAACAGTCTAGGGACGAAGATTGGTCCCACGAGGGTGAAGATACCTTCTTGTCTTCTATCTCAGTCTTCTGCACTCAGGAAAATCTTGAGGTATGGATGACAATTTAAATATCGAGTTCCTGAACATTGAAAGTCCGTGAAGATACCCCTGTTCTATATCTGAAGGCCCAGATATAGAGATACGAAAGTATCTGGGCTGAGAGTAATAGCCTCAGAAATCTAACCCATTGAATCTCATCATCTCTCGTCTCTCGACCACAAATTACTCTTACGGTCATACCAAATCCCACACTCAACCGTCTCGAAACGTTCATCCATTAAATCTCATCATCTCTGATCTCTTGACTCCCGAGTCGCTTCACGCAGCAAGTATCAAAACATTCAACAGAAGATGCAACCTCCGTTCCTCAGGATGCGATGCTCCGTTACGTACACGACGAGGACGCCTTGCGTCGCATTCACTTAAACGCCACTCTGGTCCACTTGCGATCCCTGATCCATCGCGTGACAGCCATGCATCGCCTCGACAATATCACCGGCTTCTTCAGCGACATGAACATCACCGACGAGGACCTTGATTACGTGAACAACTTCGGCGCCACTACCCTCCTGAAGACCGCCAATCTTCAATCCTCTTGCTACTGTAACGGGACAGTCAGAGACCTGGCTCTCAGGTACAAGAAGTACCACGGTTACGTGGCGCTAGTGGTTTGCCTCTTTGGAACCCTGGCAAACATGCTGAACATCGTCGTTCTCACGCGAAAGGACATGGTCACCACCCCCATAAACCAAATCCTCACTGGCCTAGCTACTACCGACATGCTGGTTATGCTCGAGTACATTCCGTTCGCTATTTACATGTACATCGTGCTTCCGAAGAGGCCAACGTTTCCTTACGGTTGGGCGGTGTTCGTCCTGTTTCACATGCACTTCGCCCAGCTGCTGCACACCATCAGCATCGCCATCACCCTCACGTTGGCTGTTTGGAGGTACATCGCTATCAGGTGAGCGGAATACCGTTTATCCGTTTGCGGTTCGGGAAGAACCGGGAACAGCGGTCGCTTAGGCAATTGCTTGTAACCAGGTGATTTCGGATTTTACAGAGAAGATTAACTCGAGGCTTGTACAGAGGGAGGTGTTTAGATTAACAGTCTGTCTTATAAGACCGTATCGGCTATATTTCTGTGAATGTTTATATGTTTGTACAAAATTTTATATGGGTCCAAATTAATAGAAAGCGTGCCGAGACGGTGCCAAGCTGTAATTGCTAATGGATGATATTGGACACCTTACTAGGTAAATGCGTATTAGTATTTTAGGTGTAGATTCGACCCATGTAAAACTTTGTACAAATGTGTAAATATTTACGAAAATATAGCCGACACGCTCTTGTGAGACAGACTGTATTTGCCTGTTTTAAGTTGTTATTAGGTCGTTTAGAACGCGAGATTGAGGAAGGAGAAAAATTAAGGTGCGAGGTACTGCTGAGATTAATGTAGCGTTGGTGTCTTCGATGCTAGAAATTTGGAAGCTTTCCCTTTAAGGGGCGACACCACTCTAGAGGCCTCCGTAGTTTCGAAAGATACGATTCGAGTTCAGATCAGTATTAAGTGACAAATACTTGGTATAACAATGACGAATGAATATAAAAATAATGAACAAAAATGAAACTTCCAGGGACGATTGCGGTTTGATATTTAATGCTGAGGAAAAAGGTACACGAGTGTTCGCGGTAGATAGCAAAGAGTAATAAAAAAAAAGAAAGAAGAGCAAAACATTAATTAATTTAATTGCAAACATTATCGAATTCCGCACTCCAGTGGCTGAAAAAGAGGCCCAACTTTGATCATTAATTTTAAGAGTATCGCAAAAGAAATAGGATTTGTTTACACCATTGAATTGTTTGAAAAGTAAGCTTGGTGCAAAAGAAAAATTAAGGCGAGCTCAGTCTAATGCTGGTCTTCGATGCTAAAAGTTTAGTTCGTCGACGGCACTTTTGAAGGCGAAACCCTCTCGCTTTGGAAGACACTGCCTTGGACACCTTAAACGAGTTTTATCGCGTTCGAAACAATGCGACCAGCAATAAAAGTTTACGGCGCGACTCCCGGCGAAAAATGCTGAACGCTTCGCGAACAACGCGGATATTATACTGCGATAAAAGGGAACGAGGGTAATTCGCGTTAAATGTAACAGGACGCGGCGATACACGTTCGATAATAAATTGTAAGTTCCTTCTATCGGACGATATTGCGCTTTTTATGGTGATAGGAAATAAGAATGGGCGGAGTGTGTAAAGAATTTATTGCATCCCTTACATATGTTACTTCAAGAAATGGTACGAATCAGCTAGGGTAAATCTCAACACATCTCGTTAAAGGTCTATTTACACATATCCGTAACGTGTCAGTTCCGTATCCGTACCGTATCCGTACCGTATCCGTACCGTATCAATAACGTCACGGAGCGGTGTCGGACGTGTGTGAACATGCCCATTAAAAAACAACAGAAGAATATTTAAAATCACTGACACTGATGGAACATTACGGAACTGAACGGATACGGAACTGACGCGTTACGGATATGTGTAAATAGACCTTAAAGCGTCTTGTTGTCGAATTCCCTTAAGCGCCGATGATGTATAGACATATAGACACAGCGTTAGTACCTTCGTCAGGCGTAAGTGACCGCGAATTAGCCATTACTTAATTACAGGTGTTTTCGATGGTTAACGCGTAAACCATCGCACACATGTATCGATCGCGTACACAGGGTCGAGCACCTGTACATCATCTAAATTACCAACAATGTATATCCGGCCTCAACGTAAATCTATCCAGCATTTCAGATGTGTTTGACGCCTGTCTACAAACCATAAGTAGATACATTCGGTTATTCTAAACAAAACGATAGATACACGCTGTGAAACGTTCCGATTCGTGTTTGCTGAATAAATGAAGCTACCGTGGCCACCGCGATAACGAGACTGTTCATTAAAGCAGCAAAACAACCCGTACACTGTTTGTACGGCGTGTGTTCCCCGCGATTACACGTTTGGCTTCCCTTATCGTGTTTTATGAATTCCGGCCACGGAATTAACCGCGGAAGAGCCACGGATACGTTTCGCAACGATTTAAAGGGAACTGAATATAAATTCGAGGATACTCGATTAACGCGGAGTGAAAAAAAAAAAAACACGAAATTTCGTTCGGAAACGTGTCCCTCTCGAAGCGAGCCATCTCCGCTCGATTCGATTCGATTCGATTCGCCTGTCGGGGTCGGAGTAGTTCGAATTTATTCTGGAATTCATTTCAAAGTTCGTTGGAGAGGGGTTGATTGTCGATACAAAAGCGAACTTTTAAACAAGCGATTTTCATTTTTAAACAGACTACTTTCATCTCTTTTTTTCCATAGTTAACGCGTTGACAGAATTGAACAAATTAATTCCGAATGTTAAGGGCGAAAGAAAATTAATTTGAACGAAATCCTTGAGTTTCGACGAAGATCACAAGTACAAATGCCACGATTAATGTTTGATTATGCAGTTTCCAGCAGGCTGTAAAGAAAAGTTAATCACGGTAGAAAGTTTTCGATATCATTAGTCCGGCAGCCAACGTGTTAAAGTTAAGTTCGTAGATCTTTAGTTCTTAGTATCTATTACATTCATTTTGCAAAGAATTCCGAACGTAACAACGGAAACTCGGTTTAAAATGGCTTGTTTAAGGCTGGCAATCGATGGATATTTATTTAAGAGACCATTTGAACCAGAGGTAAAAAGCTATACCAGGAACGAGCAAATGATTGCTACGGATGGTTTTGTTCTATTTCTCGATATTCCAAAAATAGAAGATAAGACCATTTTCATTGTTAACGTTCCCAGGCGGACTAGACTCCCTTTCGACTTTAAGCGCCGATTACTCTCGTTATTTCCAGTTATTGTTGCCGGTAAACGAGAGCCAAACTTCCGTGAACGGGAGAGACCGTTTGATTCAAATATCGGAACGAAACAGTCCCGGTTCTTTGTGATTCCTGTTCAACAATCGAGCAACGTTATGTGCTCACGGATCTCGGAGTTTCGATGTAAACGCTCCATTTCCATAGAGGAAAATTCCATTAAAAAATACCAGCGTCGATCGATTGAATTTTATTTAAAACTAGAACCCATTCGTCGAGATAATTACTCGTCGAAGTAAACAACCTGTGACTTTTAGGTGTATATTCGTGCTTCTATATGCTACGACTGCGATTTATATTTGAACATTTACGTACTCGCTGTATTGATTCTACACCCTCTGCCCCATAACTAACCGGAATGGCTTTAAAAATAACAGAAATAGTTAGAAAATCTTGACATAATCATTTTGTTTATCTATATATGACTGATTACAATCTGACTGATTACGATCCGACTGATTACGATTCGACTGATTACAATCAACGTCCAGGCTAAACCTTTGAACCTATGTAAAAAGCTGAAATTTTGCACAGAGGATTCCTTTACGATGTATACAAGGAATAAGAAAGGATATTTCGAAATTCTTTGCTTGAAAACGAATCGAAAACGAAGAATGACATTTTTTCATAGGAAGCTTCGTTTTCGTAAAAATAAATCGAAAGGTTTGGTTAATCATGTCTGACCACGACTGACCAGTTCTACTGATTCTGGCATTGTCTAATGTACCATACCTCTTCTATAGTAAACTGCAATTTTTTTAAATGATTAAAACTAATCGAAATGGATACTAACGTAACAGAAGCAACATAAATTAGCAACACAAGTAGAAATGGCGAGTAATGGTCAGACACGCTGGTCAAGTCGTATACGTGCTCCAAAGAGATTCAAGACCAATTTTCTCAAACTTAAAAACTCAAATTAAAAGGCTCTGTTGCTCGTTTTCGATTCATTTGTTGAAGTTGAATGTTGAAGTAAAAAAATTGCTTTTTCGTTTAAAATTTTTTTTTAGTAATTTTGTTGGGTGCGTGAACAAATGAAAATTTTTGTTGGCCATACGTGGACAAATTGTGGACAAACGAATGCGACTTGATTTTTATCAAAATTTGCATTTAGGGGTGCCAATTTCACGAAACTCAACAATATTCATTGGGGTTCCACTAGGGTCGAAAAGGTTAAGCGTATTCTTTGAAAAAAATTTTTATTACGCCATAAAACAAGAATTTTCGATCGAATTACCGTCGCTGTAATTCCCACCTACAACTTTTTTCATATCTCGATGCTCGAATGTAACCATCACGTGACCGAACGTTGAAAGAATATCCCCAGAGTTCCACCCTCGCACGAAACCGACCATCCAACGTGAAATATTTGCTTTACGAGTCGATGCGAGTCGTAGAAACTATTCCGGCCACCCCACTCGTTTGAATTCGTCAGTCAACGAGTTTGCATTTCATTCGACGAGAGTACTCGAGACGTTAAACACACCAGCGAATAAACAGAATAAAAAATGAACGATCAGGAAGTTCCTCGCGGAAACCGAATTCCCGAGTAAATAAGACGGTTGCCGGTTTCCTCAAACTGGAGCCACCTCGTTCCGAAGAATCTTCCAATTCGGCATTCTAACATGAACGTTTAACGATTATTTCACGTATCTTTGTTTAAACGGAATTCGATGTTTGCTCCGGTCCAATCAGATTCTGGAATGAGAACGTAAAATTTTAACGCACAGTTCTATTAAAATTCTACCGTGACGTGAAAAACGCGTGTCAACAATCGTACGTACGTATGTTTATTAAAAAGCAATTTTTTGCTTGAAAGTAAAACCGTGTTTTTCTTTTAATGGAATTTTATATGGAATTTTATATGGAACATTGGTGCCCTCGTGCTACAGTTAGAAACTATTTCAATCGAGTCGCTTGGTCAGTTAACGTCGTACAAAATTTTAATGACACGCACGTTTAATAACCCTCCTGCTTTGGTTCTGCAATTTGTTAACTCGTTCGCGACATTGTTCGGCTCCGTTTTGCATCGTATCTCTTCGGGTTCGCCAATTAAACGATATTACAAAGGTGGACACAACACTTTGACGTAAATAACGATCCTCATTAAAATCCAATTAATTTTACGAACAAAAGTATGTCAATTATCGCGATGAAACGTTGCGATTCGCCGGTCCATCGCGTACTGAAATTTCAAGCAATGTTCTTTGTTAGACGATGACCGAAGTTAGGATAATTCCACGGTTCGGATGTTCCACGCGAATGCGGCGAGCATTTATTCAGTGGCCCAAGAGCGGACGCTTGAGGGGATCGTTCAATTTCATACTATAACGATATTTCTCTACCCCGAAGCGAAAACAATGGCGAAATTGGCGCTAAATTCACGGCTAGGTTGCGACAACACTAGACCTAGTTCCAGCAACGGGCATCGTCTGTGTCAGATTCTGCTACTGCGAGATTAAATTACTTCCAGCTGGATACGCTTTACTCTAATTTAACAAAAGGTCAGGTATTTCATTTAATTAAAAGATGGAGGAAATTTTATTTGATTATGTCAGATCTAATTTCATATAAATAACACAATTTTTTGGAGAAGCGTTTCAGCGACAAGTTGCAATGGAGGAGAGGGAAGAAAATGGCCTATTGGAAATTTTAATAGCGACCAAATTTAGTCATCTAGCGAGCCAAGTTA